TTTATTATTTAAGGCAAAGCGCACGACAGCTATCTGCCTAAGAGAAGGGATGCCTTCATGGATGACTTTCTAAGAAAAACATGTTCGTCTACATGTCGTCGAGGTTCAAATTCCGGACCAAACTACCACTGTTCAGCGACTTTCCCACTCTCCCGCTCTTTGTCTACAGCAGATGTATTAACTGTGGATTGTAATGCCAGGAAGACCGATTACGGCCTATTTATTTCATTACTTTTTTTTGTTTATTTTGCTTAGGAATGAAATTTAATCCCAAAGTAAAATACTTAATGCTATGAGTGAATTTTTTTAGTTAAAATAAAGAATACGGTGCTCTGAAATCAACTGCTTATTTAAGAAATATTAATAATTTTTCTTTCAAATACGAAATTATATTTTCTTCTCCATCCCGATCTTACTCAAGATAACGGAGCAGGCTATATTTACATTCTCGACAGATATCCGCATCGCTCAGATGAAAGAGTTGTTCAGCAATCTGTAAATCTCTCGTATCCAAACTAAACTTCCTGTAAGCAAAATTCCTTCCGGACGTATATTTGCATTTCCTCTTTTTTTGTCACTAAGGAGGAATTCGTCTCAAAATAAAACATTTAAATTATTTTCTGTACAAATTGATTGTATTACATTTACAGTAAGATATATATTACATTTTTTTACTGTATTTTTACTGTATATCATATTATGCAGGGGTGTGCCATTAAAATGTCACCCACCTTCAGTATCGATGCTGCGTTTTGGAGGAGACCGCCTCCGCTTTCCTTTTTGTTTGCCGTCTGTCCATGGTCTTGGTGCAGTCAAATAAAGCATTTGTTGTTCCAGCTCTATTTTGACGCCTTATTCACTCCTCTATGTATAGTGCATCAAAAGACAGTGTCTGCCTTGTCTTATGTTCGCGTAAGACAAGCTACGTTTCTGTTGCACATCCTACATAGTACAATGCCTTTATTGCAATTAGACTATTTACTGAACCATACAAAGCCCACCAACGGCTGAGTGGTAAAATCGCTGAATGCTGGTAGTTTCGACAAGAGTTCGATTCCAGGTGAACGGGCTGTCTGCATGGGCGTTTTCGTGGTCTTCCCATGTGTAACGCGTATGGGATCCAGTTTTTCTTAGAAAATCTTGCACGAAGGCCTTCCTTCCCTTAGGCAGATAACCCTTGTATGCTTTACCACAATCCGTTAAACCAAAACCAAACCTAAGCAGTACAGTTTGATTTATCGACAGTCCACCACTTGTAAAGTCTATTAGGTATTTTATTTCGAAACTGGGGATATGAAAAATGTACGGTGCTCTCACCAGGATTCGAGCTCTTGACCTTCCGATTGCCAGCCGGTTTGGTTTAGTTTGGTTTATTTAATTATGGCAAAGCACACTAGGGCTATCTGCCTAAGGGGAGGGATGCCTTCGTGGAGGACTTTCTAAGGGAAACTGGCTCGTATACACGTTACACATGGGGAAAACCACGAAAACACCCATGCAGCCAACCCGTTCGCGGGATTCGAACCTCGGACCGAACGACCAGTGTTCAGCGACTTTACTGCTCGGCCGCTGGTAGGCAATTGCCAGTCGGACACCACGTTCAGATTTCGAATTTTATCTAGAAGGCGCATGGTAAGGAGGATTAAGATCACCGATCACAAGTAGTGGTTCGATCTAGGTATGAACCCAGATAAACATATTAGCTGCAGGTTGCTTACATGGTTTTCTCTATGTGTAACGTGAATATTAGCCTAGAAAGTTCTCCAAGAAGTTATTCCTCCCTTTAAGCAGATAACCATTATGTGCCTTTATGCGCGGTCTGTGTATCAAATAATCTAATACTGATTTATTTAGAGGAAAAGGCAAATTAAGTCATGAAACTTTTATACCACGCTCTTATTACACTAAAATTTAGGTATCAGTTAATATGTGTCAACTGCAAGAAAGAATCAATTAATTATTTCCTTCTGAAGAAGAGGAACCCTTGTCTGATGATTTTTGAAATTCGTAGAATTTTATTTAAAATATATGCCAAAAGAAGCTTGCTCCTTTGATTAATTCTAAACACAAAATTTTTTCTTCGTTACACTCTGAAACACACAACCGCATTTTTTCATTGATATCTATTATAAATAGTAGTAAAAGTCACCTAATTTCAAATATCAAGTTCAATTTTTTTATCAGTAAAAATTCCTTGAGATGGGATTCTGAATGAACTATGCGCGTTTAAAATTTTAAATAAACAAACGTGTAATGATCTACAACTAGAAAAAAAATTAAGAGCTTTTTTTATATTTTAATTAATGAAATTTGGGAAATTAAAAAGAATATTATCATTTTTCAGTATTTTATCCATGTTTTACCTTTTTCTTTTTCTAAATATATAATGAAAAGTTGTGGAATTTCAATCTTAATTTTATTCCTCCGTTAATTGAAGCTAAATTGTGATTATAGTATATAAAACGATGCTACATATTAATAATGTACATTACAGACGTTTATATATTTTTAAGACTTTTCTCTCTCTTGGTTTGTGGATTAGCGGCTAAATCTGTGATTTATTACAGCTGATCCTAGTGAATGGCTCGCAGCTTTATAGCCCCCTTCTATAGTATATTACTTTAAATTAGGAACTTCAAGGTTATTTTCCGCAGCCCGAGTTGACGCGTAAACCGTCAAAACAACAGCTGCGGAGAAAAAGACGGCTCGCTTAATTCCCTCCTTCCTTCCCGCTTCATTTCCATTTAGCATGTCTCCTTGCATGAGAAACATGCGAATGAAGGCTGACTTAATGCGTAACCTCAAATGACTAATGCTGTGCTGTGATGACGACACGAATTACTGCCGCGAATGGGGGTGGGGGCTGCAATGGCATTGAATCACTGAGAATGCTGCCCATGGTGAACCAGAGGGGGAAACAACTTTACCACCGCAAGAACAGAAACATATCTTCCAGTTTTGATGGAATACACCTGGATAACGGATCCGAGGAATTCTTTTGCTTCTTCTTTTACCAGTTACCTGCTCAGGTATGAGTGGGAGACACTGGAAATTCGCCACTGGTCGTACAAGTGTAGTCTCGCAGCACGAGCTGTTAAGTTCCTTCTTAAGGTTGATGGAAAACAACCAGGAGACGATCCAAATGTCTCCCACCTCTTTCTCCTTGACACCAAACCACAGGGGAGGACTTTCGGCTATCCGTGTATTTAGAGTACTAACACTCTCGCACAGACACCATGCCATCTTCAAGATTCGAACCTGAACTGAACAGTACAACAAACAGGTATACTAATCACTATATCGATAAGTGCGATCACCTACCACCAAACTTCTCGAGAGGGCCTTTGGGTCCGCCAGTATTTATGTGCTTGCTTGCCACATAAGCACTGCACACTTGCTGTACATATGCCGCACAGACAGCGTACAGAAGTATCCCGAATTCGATCTCAAACCCAATGATATGGCAGCAGACAGTTTTAAATCACTATACCGACTAGAGTTACATTTTATAGCTAAGGTAAGCTACTGTATTGTCAAAAGCTTCCCTCACAAACTGTTATTTCGATAGCCTACATCTCAAACTATTAACAGGAAAGTCTGGCGAGCGAATTAAATGTTGTAGATTCTTTGAAATATTTATTGACTACTGAAGAAGATTTTAAGAATTCTTCCAAAGATATGAAATTAAAGTTTAGTAAATTGAAGAATTCTCATCGATATTTAAAACAATTTACTTAGGTTCAATACTTTGATCCACATTTAATTATCTCTCACTAAGAAAACTAAACAAAAATATCTATGAGCATCAGCTTTGTGGAATGATCTAATTTAAGCAACATAAGATAGAGCATTTAATTCGTTTATTTTGTCGAAGTATTCGCAAACACTGGTCAGGAACAAAAGGAATTATTGCCATTCATTTTATACAAAATTTTAATGAATTTTCAAATATTGATAAATACCTTTTCATTTTAAATAAATATCTTAGAATGGGTTGTTCAAACGATTTCAATTAAAAATAATACAGACATATTTAAAATTTGAATGTAATTACCATTACCATTTTTGATTGAATAAAGGATGATCTGTCATTCATAGCGTAAGCATTAATATATTTATTTCTATATTAAAAACCTACTAAACTGGTTAGTGCAATCATAACTTGAGCTTCTGTCATTGCTTGTTCTCATTATCTTATACATATTTTAACATATTTATTAGATGCTAACAATACCTCATACCGTTAAAAATAAAAAAATATGTTGTTCTTTAAGAAAATCTTGAAAAAGTATATATTTTTTGTACCATATATACGGCTATCTGCCTCATAGAGGGATGCCTGGTGGAGAATTTTCTTTGGAAAATTAACGAGTATTCGTGATTACGTAAAATTAAGCTTTCTAACTTATCGCTGGTACTAAAAATCTCCTAAGAATGAAAGTGATAATGAATATATTCTTTAGCGTACTTTTTTCCTAATTCAATATATTCCATAATATAATATACTAAAATAAAAATTAAATATTTCATTATGTGAATTTAAATGATTGTTATGAAATCATACAGCTTTTTCTATCTTGCAATGAAAATATCTTGCAAACTCATTCCACTATCCGAAAATCGCGCTAATTGTAAAATGGGTCTTTTATATTTAAATAATGATTGTTGCACTGGGACAGAATATAGGAATACGTTTTTCGTAACAATCAGTAATAAATAAACAGAGAAACATATAGGCAAATTGGTAATATTACGTTACTGCAAATAAATGAAAGAATTAAAAAATTAAAAATAAAGTTTTAAAAAACTAGATACATATTTTGCATAACATAAAAATTTCACATATCAGGAAAATAGTCTAAGAGTTTATAAAATTCATTATAATTTAATTCCTTTAAATATTCTAAGGATTTGTCATGAATGGTTCATATTTTTTAAAACTTGTTCATTTTACAAATTTAGAATAATTATATAGTTAGAAGAATTACAAGAGAACTTACTTCATTCCATGTGATATGACATCCCATAGCGAACATGACGGACACTAACAAGACACAGATGAGAATATCATGGGCAAGCTTGACAACGGGGTCCGGCATCACAGCGAGGGGCTCGAAGCTCCCTAATAAAGTCTCATTTTCGAAATCTGTTGAGTTTTCGAGTGCTGTATCCGTTAGCAGCGATGCACTTGTTAAATTCATGATTGACTGAGAGTTCTGAACAGAATGGATTCGTGATGAAGTGTTATATTTTTGAATTATTCAATGCAGTTGTGAATGTGGGGACAGGTCGGAGCTTCAATGACTGGCCATTCTGGTTTCCTTGCTAAATACACAGATCAGATTGGAGAAAGAATGGTTTTTGAGCAGGAAAAGTTGTATCTCCGGTTTTTGGCCTTCGAAAATGAAGTGTATAACAGCGGCAAGGTTTTTTTTATTTTTTCCTTCCAAATTTTACTCTTACGGTATTACTGCATCTCTAATTGTCAAAACGAGTTCTGGAGACAGTTTGAGCTTATTGCCGGGTTTCTCCTTTTTCCCATAGGCGATACAAATGAAGCTGTTATAATTTTGATTTTATCCGCTTGGTGATGAATTGCTCTGAGTTTTTTTGATTTATAACTTTGTTAGAATGCTATTTTGCTTTTGGAGATGATAATGCTGATTGGCTGACTTCCGCTGTTCCGATGGTGGAAAGAGGTATTCCGGTATGTTGAACTTACTGGGAAGGTAAAGGTGAAGTTTTCACCTGACTGAAGGTCAAGGTTGAAACAATGGAAGTCCTGGATATCCTTAACTTAGGATTAGGTCCGGAGGCAAGCCAGCGATGGGGGCAGCAAGCCTTGTAGTTGGCTTCACTGTGGCACATCAGATCCCTGCTGCAGACGAAATGGCACCAGCAACTGTTCAAACTCTTGTAATCGTACCTATGAAAACAAAAAAAATCATAAATAAAATTAATTTTGGTCGACTTAAAAATAATATAAGAAGTGGTACATCGAATTAATCTGAGAATATCACTAAATATAAATTTTCGAGCTTTTTGTTAAAAATGGCATACGATACATTTTTTTTTTAAATGGCATACGGCAGCCTAACATAATATTTCTTTGAGAATACAATTTTTAAAAACGCAGTTTTTAAATATGCTTTTAACTATTCATTTAATAACCCAATACCACATGTAATTCGTAAATTTCTAGGAAAACATTTGTCTAGGCATTTTTTTTTTTTTTTTTTTTTTTTTTTTTTTTTTTTTTTTTTTTTTTTTGTAATTTGAAATATAATACATCAGATTTGTGTAAGATATTTTTAATATGAATAAAAATGGTATCTCTTTATTTTAGACTTTTAATGAGCCATAATTTAAACCAGCCTCATAAACAGGCAGTTTTTTTTTAATATTATTGATATTTTACGAATTATTCTTTAGAACATAATGGTAATTTTTCTTTTAATTTAAACTTTCAACCTAAGTATTTTTCGCAGCTATTATTACGGGGGATAAAAAGGTTTTTCATTCTTCACAATTAATGCTAAAAGTGGAGAACAGAAATGCGACGCGACTACCGATTCAGGATGATTTAGTCTCAGTTTAGCTTTATTTTGATTCTATATATTTAACATTAAGTTTCGATTCCCAGATTTGAAATCATTATCGCTTGAAGCGTTATGTGAATACCTGCGTAATGAGTGCTATGAAAAAATCTGACGTGTACACCACATGACTTCCTTGTATTGGAATATTAAATTATACGCATTTTTTCTTGCATTTCATTTAAACTTATTGGATTGAATTAAATCTACTTCGCCGACAGCTCATAAATCAAAATAGAATAAATGCATTCTTTAAAATTCACTCTAGTATTTGTTTACCATAGCGACACTCTGGCGCTAGGTTCACTTAACAGTATTAATAATTATATAACATTACTTATATAATAATTATATAACGGAAAACTAGTTAACTGTTATTACTCCAATAATTATATAACAGTTAACTATATATTTCGTTCATATTATAATCATAATGCACAAAATTTATATCATTTAAAAATAGAATTATCTAATCGTTGTCACATGTTCTATTCAAATACTATAAAAAGCTAGAATGATGTATAAAAGAATTAAGCAAACAAACAAAAAAGAACAGTTTTTCACATACGATTGAGTATTTCTCATTAATTAATTCAGTTCTCACTTTGCAAGAAGGCAAAAATATATGAAAACTCAAAATATCTTATTAAAAATTACGAAGTAAATCTCAAACACTTATTCTCGAAAAAATTCCAAAAAGAATTAAGCATGATTTAATTGGCAATAATAAATGAATGCGTTATCTTTGTTGTTGCGAAGCTAAGTTTCTTTAGATTGACAACAAATCCACTAGTCTCCTGTTTCAAATGTAAACATCAATGGCCGCCATTAAAAAAAGGCTTCGCGGCAATTAAACAACTTTTAGAATTACTGATAATTCTAAAAATATTGCACACAGATTTACTAAAGGCATATAAGATACAAACATATAAGAGTAAAGAAACTGAGATCACTGAGCCGGGTAACAGAGTGGATATAAATATATAAATATATTTATATAGGTTTGGTACGGCCGATTGCAACCAAAATACGAGGTGCACATCTACATGTTATCGCAGTTCTATATAAAAAATTTCAACGTTCTGAGGCTACTCATTTTTGAGTTATGCGAGATACGTATGTACGCACGTACGTACATACGTTCGTACAGACGTCACGAAAAATTCTTTTCAGAATTAATTTTAAAGCAGTTTTATAATTTTTTTGAAGGAAAAGAAATTTTATTCTGTCCTTACGTACTGATATCACGCAAAAACATCGTTAAATTGCATTCGATAGCGGTCAAAATGGATATTTTCGTTGAAATATGCTGCCTGAAACTTTTCGCGATTACAATATTTCCTTTTTACTTCGTACAAGGAAGTAAAAAACATATAATATGGACTAATTTTGAAATGACGCAAAGGAGAGCAATTTATTATAAGCAAATACTATTTTACAATGAAAAAGGAGATAACCGAAAGAAATTCCTCAAAATTAAAATTAGTATTTTGATTTGCATACTTTATAACTGGTATGTACCAAAATTTATATTTCAATGTTGTTGATTACATCTGATTTTGTTTCGAACAAATGAAACATTCAAAACATACTAAATAATGTAAATTATGGAAGACTGTCAAGACATTAGGTACTTTAAGCAGGATAGATGAGAAATAAGCATAGTCCTCGCCGGCACTCGAACCACAGACATCTCGAATACGCGTCGAGCGTGCTGACCACTACACTACAAAAACATGCTAAGATGGCGGGAGAAATACCTTATATACTCCCCCTTTTAAAGAGCTACTGGTGTTTTACCACCTTTTAGTTCGGTCACCACTGTAGAGACATTAGGTTATTTCGAGGTAGGATTGATGAAAAATGAGCAATGCCCTCGCCGGAACTCGAACCACGGACCTCTCGAATACGCGTCGAGCGTGCTGACCATTACACCACGAAGACATGCTAAGAAGGCGGGAGAAATACCTTATAAGACAATTACAAATGTACACCACTGATAAGAGGGTATAATTAAAAAAAAGTGATGAATCTTGTATTTCAGAGCGTATTTAAAATTTGTAGGATGACTACTGGATTCAAGGCGAGTAAAACCCAAAACAAAATACAATAGAACATTGACTGACGAACGCCTAGAATCACTAACAAATCGGCATACGAACAAATTTTCCAAATGGAACATGTCTCGGATGATAAATGATCTGTCGAGCTACGAACGAACAAACTAGCAACTAGTCATGACACTACAAAATGCAGTTAATGCAGTGAACGAAATGTCTTCAGGGGAAAAGAAAGGAGATTTGGGTTTGGATTAGTTTAGTTTATCATGTCAAAGGACACTAGAGCTATCTGCCTAAGCGAAGGGATGTCTTCGTGGAGGAGTTCCTCATGGAAACTGGCTCGTATACACGTTACATATGAGGAAAACCTCGAAAACCCCTATACAGCCAGACTTTCTGCCTGGAATCGAACGATAGTCGGAACTACGAGTGTTCAGTGATTTTACCGCTTGGCCGCTGGTGGGCCGAAGGAAGGGAGAATGTTCTTAATTATTTGATTTGCGAAATTTTGTAAATTAGAATAAGATGCAAAAGTTCATAGAATAGTATCACTCTGATAAAGCAGTAGTAAGTCGAAGCATAAATATTTGAAATAACAAAGCCATGCCTTGATCTAGGAATATTTTAAAGCGTAGACAGAAGCAAATCTTTAATGTGAAAAGAGCCCATCGATTCTCAGGTAAAGAGAACCGGTATAAAGTGAAAAAGAAAAGAAAAAGAAAAATACCCAGAAAGGTAGCAGCTGTAAGTTATTTTAACGGAATGCCGCCCAGAAGGGCATTCCTAGCCCCTCTGGGCCGACTCTGACTGCCTTGTCGAAGGGCCCGGGTTCGAATCCCGGAGAGGGCATTTATCTAATTTGTGTGTGCCTTCATAGCAGACAACAGCGGCCCACCTGTTAGGTACCTCCATAATAAAGAGACCACCGCTTCCGGTTTTAGTAGTGGCTAATGTTTGTAAATGGCTAAAGCCCGCAAATTAAACGGAAAAAATAATAAACGGAATAGAATTTCCCTTTCAAACAATAACATTTTGCACTACTACTTTTTTCATCGTTTTTTGCTCATGTCATCAAATTTCTTTCGTAGAAATACGGTGAAATTTAATTCGATCTCCTAATTTTTATATATTTAGTGTTATGTTAAATACTGTGCGTATGTTAATATTCTATATACAAATTTACATTCAGAGTGAGAGAGAAAGATGAGGGACGCAGCCCGACCCTCCTGGCAGACTTTATGTCGCCCTATGGCCTTTTTGAGGGCTGCGCCAGAGCAAGCTAGAAACAACACGTTCAACAAATAGACATATAGAACATAACTAAAAAACAAAATTAAAATTAAAATCCCTACTGCAGGCTTATCACGATTAATCTTCTCCATCCTTTTCCTGGCAATTATTTTCAGTCTTTTAAAAATCATTTAAAATATCATATATATTAAAAACATCATTTTTCTTAAACTCGTTCCTGATATCAGTAAAATATTTACATGTTTCCACATAATGCTCCTCAGTGCCCGGTTCTTTATAGATATCACAGAGGTCAGACTCTTGTAATTTAAACCTTTTAAAACAGAAAGGAAAACGGCTATGACCTGTAATGATTTGGTTAACGTCAATGTCTGAATAACATAAATTTTTTTAAGTTTAACAAATTTCATATAACCTTTATTTCGATCAGACCTTTCCCACTCCTCCCTCCATTTATCATAAATATAATTTTTCATAATAGTCACAGCTTCCTTGTTGATCCCTGTACATCAATATCACGAGCATTAACGTCGGTAATTGCCTCCTTGGCCAGTGCGTCCGCCCTCTCATTTCCAAAATGTCCAACGTGTGCCTTCACCCAATTAAACACAATATTTTGATCTTCCCTCAAGTCTTTATATAATTCTCTAATATCTACCATTAAAGGGTTGTCTTGATCAGGTCCTGAGAGAGCTTGAAGGATATTCAAGCATACGAATACATTCAGAGTATTATTTTCTAAGCAATCATTTGGGATTGATTCAATTTGCATTAAATTCCTATGAGGAAAAGTGTTTCGGCTTACAAATAATATTTCGGGTGACGAATTATCTTTAGGAACAAATTATGTTCATAAGCCTATGTTTTACTGTGCTCAATACAGTTTCAAAATATTTCATTTAAAATTCAAGATTATTATGAACACATGAGTTCAGTACAACAAGGAATTTTATTAGTTAGCTCTTCTAAAATATATTCTCAAAATGAATTTGGAATTTTATGCTATTTGAGAATATATTTAATTGCAAAGCTTAGAATATTTTTATATGTATTCTTTGAAGACGTACGCATTCTTGGGAGCTTTACCATTTGCAGTTTTTCAAAATGCGAAAATGTTTTGACTGTACTTGCTAAGCTGTTCTAGCTAACATTCTTGTTCTGAAATCTTAATATTCAGATAACTTACGGAGTCTGAAGAATTCATGGTATGAGCGTGAAAAAAAGATTTAAAAAAAAAAGAGAGAGAGAAAAAAGAATTCCTTGAAGGTTAAGCAGCGAAAGACCTTGAATTTAGCGTCTCGATTTCTTTACAGAATATTGAAGTTACTGTTACCGTAGTTTTAGAGTTAAAATGTCTTTAGATGTTTAAGCTTATTTGTCAGATTTTGGTAGAACGTAAAACCTCTTTTATTTTCAATAGGATCGTTATTTTCTCTTACATCTAGATAAAATAATTGTGTTAAACGGTCTCAAATTACAATCTATGTCAAATAGGTAGTCATTAGAGTTTCCACAAGGTTATAAAAAACAGCAAATATATAATTTATAATGTTGGGAATTTTCCTATGCTAATTGACTGTTTTAATAACGTCTAAATACGAGGTAAAAAGGGTTTCTGCTATCAAGCAAAGAACAGGAATATTGGTGTAATCAAAAAATGTTGTTCGTAAAGACATGCTATCAAAAAAAAAAAAAAAAAAAAAAAGGATCATTTGTGTTCATCGTTATGCAGTGCATTCGTGATGTCTGTTCGCCGCCCAGCCGGGATAATAGTTAGTGATGCTGATTGGCATAGCGAAGAGCCATGGTTCAGATCCCAGAAAGAAGGCATGGATTTTTGTAAATTTATAGTCTTCGTGCGGCATTGAAGCACTCAAAATATGCGGCAAGCCGAAAGTCCTCTCGAGAGATTAGTGGTAGGAGAAGAGGGGGGGACGCTCGGACCCATCTTACCCCCGGGATGCTCTCCATTAAAATTGGGGGCTGAACTGAGCGAAGTCGTGCTGTCACGTGTATGATGCGCAAGGCTCTTGTCAACGACAGCCGCAGTCTTGCATTCCTTGTCACGATAAATTTCGTGGACTTGTTCTGATGCTGCTGTCGGACCGGTGAGTTGAGTCACAACACCAACAACGAAGTTTAAGTAGTTGACCCTTTACTTTACATTAGGGAAAACGACTATCACAGGCGGAGTGGATAAAACCGCAGAATACTGGTAGTCCACTCAGATTTTGATGAAAACAAGGATATAGTTTTCTTGGTGTCCCCGTGTGTAATGCGAATACAAGGCATTTTGTTTAACAGAACTAACACATGTCCATCTGCTATGGAGGAAGAATTTTTGCAATTTGTTTGGGGGGAGCTGTAACACTGAAAGAGAGATGTTTTCCTCCCTTCGGCAAAAAGAATGCATATTGTAAGTTTTTCAACCAGATCGCTACCAGGATCGAGCTAAAGAGCTCGAATGGAAGATCTTTGTTAGCACTCTCTGTGTTTATAATCCAAAAGTACGACTTGCTGATTGGCTGTTTTATATCATGTGACGAAACAGAAAAATTTCCTAAACAGTTGTCCTTCCTCAATTTTTTTTATGCTCGATGTAGATCTTAGAAGGATCCCATCAATGCGTGCCTTTTATTTTTCTTGATTTTTTTATTTTTAATAAACCGAGTTACTGTATTTATGAAATATTTTTGGTGTAATCATACAGAAGCATTTTATAAAAAAACTCAAAGCTGCATCCACAAGAAAATTTTTTAATTCTCACATTGCAGTAATATAATCCTCCTTGAAGAGCAGCGTTTTCAATTCTAGAAATTAATACTCTAAAACTGATATACCAATAAAATCAACTTGAGTCAGTTCCTTAATGATTTTGCTCCACCTGTAACCGAGCGGTTAAGATTGCTGAAGGCTGGTAGTTTAATCCGGGTTCAAATCAAGACGAACGAGTTGGTTGCTTTCATAATTTTCAGCATGGGTAACGTTAATTTAATTTCCCTTAGAAAGTCCTCTATAAAGGCTGTCCCTTCCTCTTAGGCAGATAGCCCTCGTGTGCTTTGATATATTCAAATAACCCAATCTAACCTTAATGAGTTTTGCTCACTTCATTTTATACGTGTTTAAAACTATATTTATTACATATACATTTCATATATATTTAATACATATGTATTTAATAAACTATACTGCATTTTTATGTGCATACATTATGCATATAACCAAACGCATTGCAGTGGAATCAACTTTGGTAGTCATTTGCAAACCGCCAGTGATCTCCAAATCATAAAACTGAAATGTATAATTAAAATGGGAACTTAGAACACTATAATTAGAAAAAAATAACTTTTATTTACTTTGATAATGTTTTTTATGCCTAAATATTGTTAACAGTTTGATTTATATGATACTTAATTAAAGGCATATGAAATAGGCCTCGTATTTTTCATTCGCGAAGATTTAATCAATCCGCGAATTAAAATCCTATGAAAATTTAGCAATGTCTACAATTTGGATGACAGGTTAACATGCTTTTAAGACTTTCCTTGTTCTGTCGCATTTTTAAAAACAAACACATGTTTCCGAAGTTTTATTACGCCAAGCTCTTAACCTTCCAACAGACTTGAATTAGGTCATTTCTCGCATACCCACCTTCTCAGCTACAAGTATTCACATTCTCTAAAGTCTTATACCACATTCCTTGTAGACCGTTATGTTTCATTTTACGGATATCATTCTTATCTCCAACAACAACAAAAAAATGCTAAAGTTATAATTCGCAATCTAAAAGAAATATAGTAAGTCTGAGTGTTTGTGAAAGGTAAACATCATTTTTTAAAACGGACTTTCACTTTTCATTACAATCTTCCAAGTTCACACATTAACTTCCAGAAATGTGCTATGTTTATGAAATATGCTACATCTGTGAAAGTGCTACATTAATGAACATTCCAAAACACTTCGAAACCCCAGTTTTACGTGACAAGTAAATAAATGTAATTAATGGAAAGGAAAAAAGAAGGAAAATAAATATGAGCTTGATTGATTCCATCAACAAAAACACGTTCACGGAAGTTTTGATTCCGGACTTTTTTAAAACTGGCCGCTAAGATAATGATCTTAATGAAAGTAACTAATATAATTTAAAAGTCCCGTTAATAATTAATAATAGCAGTGAAAACGGATTCTATTTATTTCTTTTAAATCACTCAGTTTTAATCAACAATAAAAAAATTAAATTCGAAAAGAAACATAAATATCTTACGCATTACCGAATGGCAACACAATCGCGCGTGGAAGATAAAAGTATTTTGTTCAGGGAAGAGACAAAACATTTATTTTAAATCGCTGAGTTTGTTGATTAAATTCGAAAAATAAATATCTTACTCTTTGAAGAGTGACAATACATTGCATTTAAATTGCTGCGTTGTTTAATCAAAATTTCATTGATTTGCACGAAACATAAAATAAATGAAAAACAACTTAAATTCGAGATTCGAGGTGCACATGTTCGGGTTGAGGATCATGAAGAGTTTAAAATGTAGTGACACTAGATATAGCCGCCTTTTCTATACATAAGATGAACATACAAATACGTGCATGCAGATTCTTTATTTTAAAAAGATGAAGAATAATATTCAAAGAGTGTAAAACTAAGAACACGAATTACTTTTTGCCGATAAATAAAAATTCAGAGAAATGTTGAAGGAAAATCATTTCGTATAAATATCATGATAATAAAATGGGCACTATAAAATGGGCGGTTTTAAGGAAATTATTCTAAAAATGGAAAGTTTTGTCAAACGATAAAGACACTGCTAAATTTTTTCCTGGAGAAATTTTTCTGTTTAGTCCTCGTATAAAAATATTTTATTATAATTTTTTTCGTTTAGATTTTGAATACGGTACTTTTATTGTTTTACATATGAATAAAGCTTCCATTTAAATAATCATTATTGTGTAACTAACTTAGTTAGTTTAGTATAAAATAATTAATTAATGATTTATACCAAGCATAAGAATATTGAAATAAATGTAATTGTTATCAATAAATTAATCATCCCAACACTATAATATTTTTTTAACTTTGCCGTTATTTGCAGATTCTTTTCCTTAATTCGAAAATTTAAAGAATTTTTGTTGAATTTTTAAGGGAAAAAACAAGGTTAAATTTTGAAACTGCATTTTAAAAGCTTCATATTTTTTAAAAACAAAACTTGATAAATATTGTCATGCTACTACACCTATTATAAAACATTTATAAAAACAATGCTTTAAATATACAACAAAAGTACAAAACGATCAGAAACTTAAAAATTTTAAAAACTTCAATTTTAAGAGCTTAATTACTAACTCTCAATAAAAGTAATCTAATCACCAAATATGAGCAGAAATTGAAAATTAACCAATTAAATTAATTAAATCGAGATATCCACAAAATATGCAAAATACATCCTGATATTGAAAGTAACATCCACGTACCTGATGATTTAAACTTGCAATAAATCCACAGAAATTGTTCGATAAGAATCGAATTAGGCAGAAATGTGCCTTTTTATACCAATTGTCATAGCTAACCGACCTCAGCCACCAGGTGGCGTATGCTAACGACGTATAATACAATCCCTGTCCAACCACTCAGCAATAACGTAAGAATTGAACTTTTTTTGTTATTTTCCCGCTCAGCGGAGAGAAAGTGTGTATGGATTTTGCAATTCGTCTTCAATGTGTAGGGATCCGTAGCCCGTGCTTTAACTGTAACTTCCACCGCTCTAGCGACACTTTTAGAATCAGTTAACAGAGATTAACTCTAACAATGTTTAATGATGGATTCGCGAACTGTTGACAGTGATTACCGAAACTGATCTCGTTGGTGGTTTGAGGTCAGTGATTTCCAGAAGAGGAGGAACTTATTTATTCCGCTCTTTTGTGATTATCTGATTATCTACGTAAGAAAATTAACCTTTTGTACTTTTATGGAGGAAATATTTTCCTCGAATTAAGAAATTAAAAATGCGTATTAATGTGTTACATGCATGTACATTTGCCGTTTCCGTTAATTTTCTTAAGTCTGTGATATAATAGTTTTAGAGACTAACTCAGTAAAAATAAAATACGTCCTTTTCAAATTTCTTATTGCAAGACCGGCAAGTCACTGGCTATAAATAATGTAAAGCACTTAGAAATATACGAAATAGAAACACAACTAAAATATAAACGATAGTATAAGATATTTTTCACTTGAAAAATTCGCCTAACATCTGAACGTTTTTCTGTGTATTACCATATTTTATCCGCAGCTTTACTTTATTTTTATTTTATTTGCATTTTTGAGCTTATAAATATCATAGAATGAGAGTTATCTGGAATTCAGATGTCCGGAGTTGTTGTTATCCGAATAATTTATTTTCCTTTTGGGCCTAACGGTAACTTTTTTTAAAAAGTAATTGTGTTGATTTATTGATGTTTTTAATATTTTATGCAGATTTTCGGTAATATAAAAATATAATATATTCCAGTATATACTTTATAAGGTATCTTCTCCCACTTTTCCGCATGCTTCGAGGTGTAACTAGAAGCACGCTCGACGCGTATCCGGAAGGTCCGGAGTTCGAATTCTGGCGAAGGCATTGTACATTTTCACGATCCAGTTGCACGTGTAACCTAATGACTCTATAACTTTTAGGAAAAACATTTATTTAGATCAGTGTGTGTAGTATGTACACGGGTCTGTGGTGTCCGACAAAACCATTAACAGAAAAATGGTTTAGCTGTTGTAAAGCTAACTATTCTTTGCTTATTCCGTGAATCGTAATTCAGTCCTAAAACGGATTTCTTTTCTAAAAATAGATTAAATAAATGAGCTGTCTTTAAGTTAATTGAATTAACTAATTATATTTTTTTTCCTTTAACATGCAGAATAATACAGTTAAATTACTCTCTTTTAGCCTTTTGGTGCACGTCGTAGGGACTTTTGCGTGAAGTTCCTAATGAATTACTCAATTAACTTTCTAATGTAATGCGTAACATTTCCTCAAAAGTATAGTGCGATATGCTTAAGTAGTTAGTATACGACCAATAGGAATCGGATTGTTTTGACAATAAAGGAAAGTTAATATCCTTAACAAAGTGAGAAATAGTGAAATTGAAGAAATGAATTGGATAGAATGGCGACGATTTCACATACAAAAGAAATATTTAAAAATTGATGTGAATTATGTCTCTGTCTTTGGTAATGAAGACGGGAAGACTGAAATCTGTCGAGAAGAATGATAAGAAGAACGGAAAATGAAAAGAGTAATCATGTTCTATAAAATTTAGTTGCAAGTAAAAGGGAACTCCATTATCCGAATTTTTGAAGTCTCCGCATGGATCAGATTTTTAGTATTACAGTAAAGCATACGAGCGTTGTTTTTAAAACACGTGGGGGAAACATCGAAAGTTCCTTTCCGGCAAGCTGCAGTCGACTTGTGAACCCGGATGAAGCTACCAGCATTCAGCGAATTTACCGCTTGGCCGCTGGCGGGCAAATCCGGTTGGACTGAGATGTCAGATTATTTAATATTCAGTTTTACTGCCTGTTTTTCTTTGAATGTCTCTTCTTGGTGGACTGTTTTTTTATTAAGTTTTTTAGTTCAGAAATTAAAAGGATTTCGAATATCATTTGTATCTTTTACTAATAAAAGCATTTTTAGCGAGACTGGAGAGTATTAAATATTTCCATGTTTTCCCGCTTTATAAAAGAAAGGTAGAATTTAATAATTGTTTGCATCGAAAAACAGGTTTTAATTACAGTTTGTCTAAAAATGTCCATTTTCTTAAAGCAGCTTAGTTTGCTTAAAATCATGCGATAACTTAAAATAACGATAACGGTTGAAGTTTTCTTATAATTTTGAAAATGCGTTGCGATTCCTCTTGATTTTTTTAATTCTTAAAATATCTGATGCGGACACCACCCCCATAGCACAAAACATCCTCAGAATGTCCTAGTTAAGTCGCAATATCCCGGGACATACTTAGGATGGCCTGAGGACATCGTAATTTAACATCTTGAGGATGAGGTGACTTCCTTGTACAGCCTATTAAATATTTCTTTTAAGACAAAAAACTAATTTAAATATTGTTATATATTTACAAAAATAAACTGCTGTTCAATATTGTTAGATATTTACAGCAGTAAACTGACATTAAATATTGTCAGATATTTATTATTAGACTAAATACATATGTAAGCTGTTATTATATATGTAGTCAGATTTCATTATTTGTCAAGAATTATTATTATTTTTTTAATTTGACATTGCTGAAACATGAATATTTTCGTCATTTGAGTACAATCATTTGTACACTTTACATTCAAAATACACTTCGAATTGTTAAGAACATTAAATATAATGTAATGCAAAGCGCATCTAAGCGGAAAACCTCTCACGGATATGTCAGTCTTCCGAAGTCGCTCCTGAACTAACAATTCAGAAACTGATACTCTCTCCGCACTCATATAGTTTTCTCCCAGCCAACCAAAGAAATTTGTATAAAGTGTGTATGAGACATTTACGATACGTGATAGTCATATGTTTCTTGTCTAAACAATGGATTAAACAACGTAGAATAACAAAATTACCTGTCACATCATAATTTTCAACAAGGTTAAGGGAAAATTAAAATTTTCTATGAATCTCATAGCAAAAAATGTCCGTTTGGAAACGGAAACGTTTTACCGAACCAAAACTAAAAGTACTTTTCTCATACAATTGCAATTATCCGAGATATAATTCAAATTTTCCTAAGCGGTAAATATTGCGTAACAGCTAAAATGCCACACCCTGAAAGAACTACTGGAAAAGGACCAAACTTTATACATAAATCAAATACAAATAATCATGCAGTTAACAAATGGTTTGATTTCCAAAGATATACAAGAATAAAATAATAAAATTTTGGATCAACCCATAAATAATGCGGCATTTTTATACTTCTTTTATCTTCAAAATTAAGATAAACAAAATACTTTTTTAATTTAAAATAGACTTTCATTCGTCTCTGCTACCTCCTCTAGTTGCGATGGGATTCTGTTTCACCAGGATTTGGTAAGATCTTATAGAAAGAGGCTTCTCTTCTAAGTTGCAATTTCCAGTTCGGAATTTCTGGAACTACCGTTGATACTGTGTAAGGTATATCCTAATTTTATAACAGTTAAGTTTATGCACCTTTCCTATGTCTTCTAGCTTCAGCTTACAATTCCTTACCAGAATGAGTTTTTAGAATCGCGTTAGATGCAAATTAGTAGAAAACATTTAAGTCAAAGGTTCAATTGATTTCGCCAGAGAGAGTTAGGACTCCTAAACAGCGCGCGGTTGCCTTTGACCTACGTTTCTCTAAGCTGTTATTACGCTCGGCCCGTGTAATAACGTGTCTTTTCGCTTACGTGTGTTTTCGTAAGCGAACGTGTCTTTTCGCTTGAGCCAACTAGTTTAGAGTTATGTTAGCTTCGGCTAAATCGCTTTAGTTAGTGATTAGTTCTTATTTCTTACATTTGTGCTTAAGCCCAAGTGGAGGCTCTATTGTAAACCCTGAGAAAGGGGCCGACTCTATATCTTTATTTGAAGCAAATAAAGGGTAATTAAACCCTTCTTGAGTTTACGTTTTTGTTCCTGGACTTGAGCGATTATTCGCTTAGTGGTTCACTAGGTTCCTGTGTTGTGTTGTGTTGCTGCTTATCCCCGAAAGATATGACGTATGTCAGATCAGCTCCAGAAGATTGTTGACCGTTAAAAAATCAATATTAATAACAGTGTGAGGATCGGATGTTAATTCTTTCTTAGAAAGTCCGATGCAACCTGGCCAACAAAACCAAAAGAAGGTGGAAGTGAGCAGCTTCTGTTGGTCAAAAACGCAAGGGTTCCCTTGGACTTCACCTAGGGGTGCCCCTAGATGAAGTCCAAGGGAAGAAGTTTGTCTTTGCTCCATTGCCTGCAGGTCTTTGCTGAGCATAATGGAATAGCCGTGGGTGATCCTTCCAGGAGATTACTCCATACTCTTCCGACGTACTTCGCCTGTTCCGCCCAGGTACACCCCCTCACCGGCTAACAGCTGGTAAGGAGGCGACCTGCAGGAGTGTAGGGAGTAGCCTAGTTTAGTAGTTCCGGCGGTTCCTCTACACCTAGTTTAGTAGAATGAAAGGGAGGAACACTACTTAAGCTTATCGTTCGATCCCTAAATGCTGTATTCATATTCCTACTAATAATTATTTAATTGAACTCATAAAGCAAGTAAAATATGCTAATTATTCTTTCTCATTCCCATTTGGCTTTGGAAAAAAGAACTGTTATCTGTACTCTGTTAATAAATGTACCTCGTAATCACACTGTTCACCACTCGCACTAAGAACAAGAAAAAGTTAAATTTACTACCTGCTTCCATTTTACCCGGTTCGTTCAAGTAATTTATCCCGTGCCCCCCCCCCGACTTTGCTTTGAATTGATTTACCCTGCAGATAAATTTGGACTAAATTATGATCGATTGTTATGTATTGTAAAAAAATATATTTATACTCATG